ACATATTAAAATATACACACTTAGTAAGCTATAAAAAAGCGTGCACACATTTATAAAATTTGTAAAAATTTAATTTTTATACTTCATAGCTTGATATCACGGTCTTTCATCAAAAATCACCATTGGTACTTAATGACTATAAATCCACAAGTACACTTATTTTTTAAAGTAATTCGGAACAGGATTTTTATACATGCAAACATTAACAAGTACGATTTTTTTAAATTAAGCCATGAAATAAAGACACCAAAAATTTTAATTTATTATTTTTCTATCGTAAACTCGTACCCTGACGAACAAGAATCCTGCAATCAAACTGGCGACTATGATGATGAGGAGAAGACTGATCAACCCACTGACGAAGCTCTGGATGGATAGGCAGATATTTTCGGCGTTTTTGCCATAGTTCATGGTTTCAATTATTACTGTCTCGTTTTGAGCATTATTTTTAGCATTTAGTGAGAAATCGACGTCGTTGGGGGCAACTACCCTGATGACGCGTTTTGTGGTGACGTCTGTCGTAGGAGAGGCTGAGACATCGCGCGTTTGGCGGGTGTGGACAACCGATACTGGGATGGTGATGAAGGTTCTGGAAATAGAAAAACAATAGTTAATTCTGTTTGAACACTCTATCTCTTAAAATTAACGTTAACATTTTTGTATTCTTTGCCTTAACCAAAGACCAAGAAAGGACAAGCGAGATGCCTTTGAGAAGGTTTCTCTGATGAGATACCATCAAGGATATTTAAAAATCTGATTACTTTTGGTTAATAAAAATGACAAATTATTATCTTTTACCCTTGGTCCAAGCTCCTCCTTTCCCTGGTTTCCACCGACCTCGGTCTTCCGCCCAAAGTGGAAATGTGTTCACTTTCAGGACCACCATTTCCATCAACAGTACTATATGTATTCCTATCGCTTCCTGGTGGTGGTGGTGGAGGCAATGGTGGATGTTGGCGTTTGTTCTCATAATTATTATTCAGAACAGCATCATAATTGTTTTGGTTTTGTTTCTGTTGATTATCATAGTTCAGATTTTCATAATTTTGTTGTTTATTGTTGGAGTTATCGCTATTTGCATTGTAAACTTCATTTACGTTTTCGATGTAATCGCCCTTTTTGCTGATGTTATCTGGTTGTAATAGGACTTTTTCAGGGTGGTTTTCGGAGTATGCTCCAGTGAGAGGATCAGCAACTTCGGCGCCTCCTGCTAATGG